GTCACATCTCCAAGTTTGGGGATGTCCAGCTGAAGTAAGAATATACAATCCACATGAAAAGAAATTAGATTTCAGAACGATCAGTGGTTTCTTTATAGGTTACCCTGAGAAGTCTAAAGGATATAGATTTTATTGTCCATCCCATAGTACGAGAATAGTAGAAACCAATAATGCCAGATTCTTTGAAAATGGTGAGATTAGTGGGAGTGATAAAGTTCGTGATATAACCATTCAGGAAATTAGGGTTAATATTCCTTTACCCTTAGTTCCGAATGTTGGGGATCCGAACATTGTTGAACCGTTAAACAATGAGGAAAACCCATTAAATGATCACACACTCCATGATGAAAATTTCGCTAATAATGATCATGAAGCACAAGAGCAGCCATCATTACGAAGATCAACTCGTACGAGAAGATCTGCAATTTCTGATGACTTTGTGCTTTATCAAGTAGAATCTGATGAAGGAAATATTAAAGATCCGGTTTCTTATTCACAAGCCATGAAAGATGTTAATTCTGATAAATGGATTGATGCTAGTATGGATGAAATAGACTCGATGGTTAAGAATGAAGTTTGGGACATCGTTCCATTGCCTGATGGACACAAAGCAGTCGGGTGTAAGTGGATCTTTAAGACCAAACTCGATTGTAATGGCAATGTAGAACGATATAAAGCCAGACTTGTAGCCAAAGGGTTTAATCAAAAAGAAGGCATCAATTATAGTGAGACTTTTTCACCTGTGTCAAGAAAAGACTCTCTCAGAATTATTATGGCATTAGTAGCTCAGTATGATCTCGAGTTACATCAAATGGATGTGAAAACTGCCTTTCTTAATGGAGACTTACAAGAAGAAGTCTATATGCGTCAACCTGAAGGCTTCATAATCGAAGGTCAAGAAGATATGGTTTGCAAATTGAAGAAATCAATATATGGACTGAAACAAGCTTCGAGGCAATGGTATTTAAAGTTTGATGAAACCATTACGAAATTCGGTTTCAAAGAAAACATTGTGGATCCATGTATATACCTCAAGATCAGTGGGAGTAAGTTCATATTTTTGGTACTGTATGTTGATGACATCTTGTTAGCCACTAATGATCTTGGTCTATTACATGAGACTAAGAGTTATCTCTCTAAGAACTTTGATATGAAAAATATGGGTGAGGCATCCTATGTGATAGGAATTGAAATATTCCGTGATAGATCACTAGGAATTTTAGGATTGTCTCAGAAAGCATATATTGACAAAGTTCTTGAGAGATTTGGCATGATGATGTGTTCTTCTAATAATGTTCCTATGCAAAAAGGTGACAAGCTGAACCTTAAGCAATGTCCGCAGAATGAAATGGAACATAATGAAATGCAAAAGTACCCTTATGCATCTATTGTGGGAAGTTTAATGTATGCACAGGTCTGTACTCGACCTGATATTAGCCATGCAGTCGGAATGTTGGGTAGATTTCAAAGTAACCCAGGACTTGCTCATTGGAAAGCTGCGAAGAAAGTACTGAGATATCTTAAAGGAACAAGAAACTACATGCTCACATATCGAAAATCAACACATCCACAGATGGTTGGATTTTCAGACTCAGATTTTGGTGGATGTCAAGATTCTAGGCACTGTACTCTCGGCTATGTGTATCTCCTTTCCGGAGGTGCCATTTCATGGAAAAGCCA